ACAATCCCGTGAGTAACACATGTTTCATACCTGTTAGTGGAATGATATAAAATAATAATGACTCAATAAAAGCTCAAAATAGTTTCTCAGATGGAATTCGAACATTTTCAATTGGAAACCAAAGAACAAAATGATTTTTTTGGAGCAACACAGATGAAATATAGTCTAAATATAAAAGAAGAAAGTAAAAACAAAAAATTTAAATTATTTGAAAAGTATATAAATATGCAAAGAATTTTTTTGTAAAACATAATCTTAGTCCTTAGATGACCTAACTACCTAAGTCTCCAAGGCCTAAATTATTTATAACTCAATTATTACAAAAATATTGTAATAACACGCAAATTAGATTGAAACAGATTATAACGTGAGAATGTGCTTATAATTTTTCATTTTTTAGAAGATCCAACTATTCAAAGACAACCATGCAATAACCCTAACCATTCAYTAACGATTAATGATATGGATTACCTTCGTATCATAAAAAAAACTATTGATACTTCAAAATCAAAAGTTTTAGATCAACGAGGCCAAAATAGTTCTGATTTTTACTTAACAGACACTTTGAGTTTAAAAGATATAAGTGATTATTGGAAACAATTTCTGTACGCGTTTCCTGAAGATCGTTTGGTCCTGTGGGATGTATTCGATAAAGCAATTAAGAAATTTTACCAAACGTTACACCGTATGCGCAAATACGTATACCATTTATATATTTGTTTCGGTTTGATAATATATTTATTTTGTAATTTATATTGTATTATGTTTAGTTCGCTTCAAGAAATTGAAAGAAGTCGAACAACTAGAAACCGAAAATATGGAATTAAAAAAAATTTTAAAACAGTTCATGGACACGGAACAGGTATTTTACATTATATTTTATAAATTGATACTACTAATATTCAGGAGTTCGATTACCTAGCTAATAAATATTTTTCAAATTCTTATAGTCACAATACAAATAATTAAATATTTCATGCAAATAATAAATCATAACGAATATAATTTATTTGACTTCAGGATGATGTGCGATTAAAAAAAATATGTACTCCAAAAATTAGAAAACAACAAATTACCTCTGCAAAAAGAAATACAAAACCAACATTATTCGACGACGATTCTAACAACATTTATGGAACATCAATGCGTATACTTACTGTAAATAGATCTGATAAAAAAAAAATAAGAAGACCTTTCACCGCTCCGACAAAATGATAGAGCTATAATTCATAATATTGTATAAGTACTTACCGATTACATTTTGAAGATATTATTATTATTATTATTTGATTTTTAACCTTTATAACTTTAATAATATATACCTATCTAATAATAAGAAAGTATTAAAAATAGTGACCT